GGACTGCTACCGTGGCCTCCCGTGCTCGCCGCCGCTCCCGCATCTCCGCTCCTGCCGGGACAGCCGGTGGAGGCGTCTCGGTGTTCGGACGAGGAGGCGCCGCTGGCTCATCGTCATCAGACATGTCCAACAGCACCATCTGCCGCCTCTAGGGCTGGGTGGAACCACCAATACTAACCGGCCCCTCTTCACCTCGAGAGGGCCTTACTGTTTTTATCCTCTTCGCGGATGGCCCTCGTCAACTGGCCGCTTTCCACGAAGCTTCTCGCGAACATATTCTGTCCGCGCATCATCACCTCTGGTTCCATGACTCTCTGACCCCTCATCGTTAGCATCCATGCTCAGATGATGATGGGGACTGCTCGGCCGTGCATCAACGGCTCTCGGCTAGTCCTCCGACGGGATCACCGAGAAGTACACCGCGTGGTCTTGCCTATGAATCTTCAACAACTCAAATGAATATGTCATGCAATAAGAATGATCAAGTGAACATTGCAAAAGACTCTTACCGTTGGAGGGAGGTTCCCGACGTTGAAGGCCCACTGCTGGTCCCTGTTGGACATCCAACCTATGAAATTAAAGAGCGTCGAGATTCGACGCTTGACCTCGTCCTAGTCAATCTCCTCGGGCACCTCTCGGGTCCCGTCGATGTCTCCTTGGAACTCAAAACCGGGGTGCGTCCTCTCCTCGTAGGACTAAACCCGCCGGAATGTGAAGTTCGTTGCCACAATGACTCCATCTAGCCTCTTGCAGTTAATCAACCTCAAGAGCTCCCTCACCTGCTCCATCCCATCAGACTTCAGCCTCTTGGACCACTTGGAGTTGCTCACGGGGATCTAATCCACGTCACATGCCACATATGGCTCTACCTGCCTAATGTAAAACCACTTCGATGCCCAGTACTTCATATTGGTGTTGAGCGGGACTACGATGTACTGACTCGCCACCATGTCCCAAAGCTGCAAATATGCACCACCTACAACTCTAGATCCAGACCCCCCTGGATTTTGAGGCAGAAAAAATGACGAAAGAGGTCGAAATGGGGAAGGATTCCCAGATACGCCTCACAAAAATTGATGAAGATGGCGACATGCAGGATGGAATTCGGGCTGAGATTGCAGAGACCAATCCCATAATAATCAATTAGCCTATGAAGAAATGGATGAATGGCAACACCAAACCCCTAGTAGAAGTAATCCTCAAAGATAACTAATTCATCGGTGCGAGGAGTGGGGAATTCCTCACCAAATGAAGGGTGCTATCCCACTCATATTCTGTCGAGCAAAGATGCCATCTACCACTGTGGCGTTGAGCGCCACTCGTTGTCGACGGATCATGCCCCCTCCTCCTCGCGGTTGATCTCACGCGCCGCCGGCCTCGAGCTCACACGGCTCCTCTTCGGCGCCATCAAGTAGATCTGAGTTGAAGTAGCGGTTTTCTGCGCTTGGAGCAGCCCTAATGGCAAAGCGATTGCGAGGCGCAGAGGCGAGAATGCGAGGAAGAAGACGATGCGATGGGGAAATGGTGGGGAGTGTAAAAGCGGGCGCCCACGGTACCATTATAACGGTTCAACCCCAACTCTTTGACTTCTAGGGTTTTTGGAAAACTACGCTCGCCGTGCCGTTCCCACTTCCCAAGTCTTCACACGCTTTCCTAGGCCAATAACAGGGCCTAGCGGATCCACAACTAAAACCACGTCGTCCGCGGGCCGCCAAACGGATTTAAGTGCTAAGCACTATTTCGCTGATTTAATTGGGATTTTTGGAGCAAGATTTTTTCTTCAGATCCTGCTACAAGATTTTCTCCTTAATCTTCCAGCAGTCTTGGGGACTACATGTGTACACGTCATCTTACGATGACTGTACTATTTTCTACGTTGTTTTCTCTCAGCTAAGCTAGGGACCGGTGTCTAACTAAGCTGGGGACTGGTGTCCAACTAAGCTGGGGACAGGGCTAGCATCTGAAAGACTATTTTTCTAGATCCTAGCACCACGTGAATACTTCACCTACTATCAGGCTCGGAGACTAAGTAGGCACACTTCACCTTACGGTGAATGTGCTTATTTTTTACCCGAGTTTCTTCAAAAAACGACTAAGTCGTAATCTGCTGTTGCTCAAGCCCTTGGTTTGGCTCTAAGAGTCAATCCTGCCCAAGGCATGAATGCTAAGCATCTCTCTATGTTTTTTGTGGGAATAAGTTCCTCCGAGCTGACTAAGTCAGGGACGCTAAGCGTCCAACTTCGCTGCCCGAGACTTTAAGTGGGCACACTTAACCTAAGGTGAAGACTTTGAATTTTTTTTACTTAAGCTCCTTACATCGTTCTGACAAACCTCAACTTTCGGTGAGTCCGGGTACGGCGACCAGTTGAACTGCTCGGACTGCTCGGATGTCGACTTCAACTTCTCGAACGCATGTTTTACTGCTCGGCTCCCAGTTAAACTGGTCGAAAGCCTGCTCCCGGTGATCAGCAGCCAGTTGGATAGCCCAGACAAGCTCAAGACGATGTTGTTCAACGGATACAAGGTGCTCGGGGACTACTTATGGGGGTATAACCCCGAATACCCACAGGGTTATACATGGGCCGAGTCGCCAGGGGAGGCCCAGCCCACGAGATCAAACTGCGCGGGGCACGACGTAAGGTCGGCGTGCGCCGCAAGATTGCGTGAAGCTTCCTTGGCGTCGAATGAGAATCTGATCGGATATGTTAGATATCGTATTCCTTGTAAACACCTATCATGTAACCGATCAGGATAGATGCAACCGACCTGTAACCCTACCTCCGAGCTATATAAGGCGGATAGAGACCCCTCTCGTTTTCATTTCATCTCATAATACAATCCACCAAAGGCACAGGACGTAGGGTATTACGTCAAGCTGACGACTCGAATCTGCCTAATCGTTGTTTCTTGTGTTCTGTGTCACCATCTAGTTTCTATCACGCGCACCTCCACTGATTTATCTACTACCGTGGGCATACACTTCGGTAGACTGTCGGTCATATTTCGTCAACAGCCTGTTTTAAGTAGTGCTGTTGAAGGAAAAAAATAAATAGTATCAAAATAGGTGGCTACCCAAATATAAAAGTAGAAACCCTGATTTAAGTAGCAGTGCTGGAGTGCTCTAATAGATTAACAACCATTAAGTTTCAATGAACCTTCCACAATACCAATCATCCTTCATCACATGAATATTTTTAAGCTGTAAAAACTATAACTAACGTTGTTTTTTTTTGCTGAATCATGAACTTTTTAGTTTTGGAAAATTGCGTGCAACGTACTAACATGCTGTTGCTCAACAACCTTCTCGGGCAAGAACCTTTTAATGACATTTTTTAGTCTAATGCTTGCATGTCCGCTCGGAAGAATGCTTTATAGGCCAAGAGGTCCAACTGAAACTCGCGCCTATTTAACATGGCTATTTCACAAGTTAGTTAATGCGAGTCCACGCAATTTGTGTTTGATGATTTGAAAAATAACTAACAAATTATTTGGATAGACACTAGGATGGATTTGATCATAAATGTGCTGAGTTCTTTATTTAAGGAGAAGTGGCTCAAGATGTTGTACTAGTTTCTGTGCCTCTGGTAGTGAACATCATGTCACTCAACGGAAAAAGAGAGGTGTTCTCCAGAATTCAGCCGTTATTGTTTTATTCACATTTACTATTAAGTATTGACCATTGTAGAAAGCACATAAGTACTCAATATCAAAGGATTTGATCCCAGTCTCGTAGATTCTAAACGAAACTTGTGCTTTTGATCCTAAAATGGTTTTAGTGCATGCCATGGTTGAATGGCAACTGCAGTCTACTCCTTTTTACCTAAATCTTCACTTATTACTTAATAAATACGATAAGCTTAGATCATTTCAACTGTTAATCTATTCTGACAATTAAAATGCAAGAAAGAGCGAGTAGGGGTAATAAAATCTATAGAAAAAATAATGTGTATAAACATTAACACCTCGCTAATTTTTTGTTTATCCATAGCCATAGCAACGCATGTGCACAAATCTAAACCCATAATAATTCACCTAAACCCATAATTCTTCCCTAACTTCCCTACCAAACAAAAAAATAAAAGAGTCAACCAAAAGAGAAAAAAAGAAAAGGAAAAAAACCACCATCGCCCTTCTGGTTAAGGTTTTTACCCGTGTGTTGTTATAAAAATTGATAATTACATACAAGCCACTAAAAAAGTTGAGTTCTCACAAGTGCTACTGCTCTGAACTCTTTTGCCCTTCATGCCACTTCCGTCAGATTTAGCCCTAACGGTGTCAAATTGTGGGTGTGAAAAGTCAAAAATACCCTAGGGTCTGAATACGCAATTAATTTTTTTTGAGCATGTTAATGACCTTAAATGAAAAAACTCAAAACTAGAAAGTTGTAGATCTCGACAATATCTATAATTTTTATAAAAAATATCTTTCATTTAATTCCGTACAAAAAATTGATTTAATATGATTAATATGTCTTAGAAAAATCACATTTTTTATACAAAATGAAATAAAAATAATTTTATATAAATATTATAGATCTCTAGTTTTGAGTTTTTTTTATTTGAGATCGTTAATATGCTTAAAAAAAATTAATTATATATTTAAACTAATGGTATTTTTTACTTTTTATGTCTGCAGTTTGATATCGTTAATATTAAATCTGACGAAAGTGACGTATAGAATGAAAAAGTTTAAAGCAGTGATATATGGGAGAACTCGATTTTTTAATAATTTATAAATAATTATTAATTTTTATAATGACACACACGTAGAAGCCTCTTTTCGGTTTGCTCGACCAGACCCCAGCAGCCCCTCCTCCCCGCTCGCGGAGTCGTCGTTCTCGTCTTCGGTACTCGCGCGCGCCAGCTCACTTCCCTCCTCCTCCCTTTCCCTTCCCCAGATCTCCCTCCATCCTTCCCTCAGAATCCCAGATCTCTCTCGGCCCCGTGCCCCGCGCTCCGAAACCCCTGCGCCGCCGCGGGTGCCAGGCCGCGAGCGTCGCCATGGGCATCGTGTTCACGCGGCTCTTCTCGTCGGTCTTCGGCAACCGCGAGGCTCGCATCCTCGTCCTCGGCCTGGACAATGCCGGCAAGACCACCATACTCTGTAAGTCGCACCCGCCCGTTCCGTCCCCCTCTCCCTCCTCGAATCTCCGCAGGCCCACCGCGGATCTGCGGTTCTGTTCCGCGAGGGTTCCCGATTCTGATCCTTCCGTGTGGTTTTGGTTCGTTTCACAGATAGGCTGCAGATGGGAGAGGTCGTCTCCACGATCCCAAGTGAGTTCTTATTTACGGACTCGTCATTGCTGCTGCTGGTTGGAGTTGTTGGATTTGATGTGATGCCTTGTGTGTGTTGTTGCAGCAATCGGGTTCAACGTGGAGACGGTGCAGTACAACAACATCAAGTTCCAAGTATGGGATCTCGGTGAGTTGCTCGGGTCTCGCCGCTCTCTTTGGCATTCTGATTGATGATCGACTGTTTGGATACTCAGAACAATCATAAGTGCAATCTCGAACAAAAACTTAGAGACTATTATGTGAGAAGGGCAATTGAAACTCAGCAAGAGTGAGCTATCGAGTGCTGATTCTGTGAAAGATAATTGAAATGGCACTTCATTCTGTATGCTTTAATCGAAAGCCTGTGCACGAGTAGTGATCTCCATCTAATCGTGTCTGTTTTGTTATCTCGGTGTAGAATCATCAACTCAAGTGCCACTTTACCTAGCATTTTTAATGGGCCATCAATGGATCCCAGCCTTCCCTGCTTGTTTTCTTCCTTCTGTTTGTGCCACCCAAGTTAGCATGATATTTAATGTAAGATCGACTGCCTACATACAAGTGCGGCACATGTTGGGCCATTTTGTTTTAATGTTTTATGAGGACCCACTATTTTTATGTCTTCTTTTGTCAGACGCTTCAATCATTATGTTTCACTCCTTATCCATGTTGGGTTTGTTTTAGGGAAAATAGGAGTTTAAATTTCAGAATGTCTATGCTATGGTGCTTGCTTACTTTAATCCAGTGAACTTTAGCATTTTTCTAGTGTCATTACCATAATAAACCAGGTTGGAGCTTCCTTAGGGCCTACAGTAGCCATGACCCTTGTCATTTGAGCAACTCCATAGAAAAAGTAGCAGTACTTTTGAGCTACATCACTAATTTATGCTTGTAAATACCCTATTGGAAGTGCTTAATTCATCTTTGAATCATTGCTGCACCCAACCCCCCTACTAACTTTGGTGGCAAGCTTTGCCACTGCATGTAACACTATGGCCCTGTTTGACACAACTTATTTGCAGTTTTTTAAGCTGCTTCACTTCCCAAACGTTATGCAAAGTTATTTTGGAGTTTTATATGAATACTACGGTTTTACAGAATACCTAGGTATTAAGAAGGAAGTGTTTGGATAGAATAAACTTTGAAGTTTTAGAAACCGCTGTATTTATAAAACTACAGTATTTTTGGAGTTTTGGAAACTCCACCTGGACCCTCTTTTTCTTGACAGAGCTTGGCGCCGCATGTGTACTTACAGATACATGCTATTTTTACAAGCAAGGACAGAACCAACGAATTTTTAAAAGCAACGTACTGCTACGTAGCCAAACACGTCATAGCTTTTCTGAAACAGAGAAAAACTCTAGTTTATAAATACTATAGTATTAGATGGCTACCGTTTTTAAAACTGTGGTTTCCCAATACTACAGTTTGAGGAAACAGGAACACCCAAACGGGGCCTAAGCTTTTTTTCGGACTTCTAGGGGAAGTGCTTCTACGGATTGAACTAGAGGCCCATAAGCTGGAAGTGGCCCAGGGGGTGCTTTTTTTCCACCGCAGCCAGCTTCTACCTCCTGTCCATTTCTTTTGCTGCTCCACAGCTGTTCCATCTCCACCAGCGCTGCTCCCTCCCAGCTCCGCGGCTCGAAAGTGAACGATCGATGATGTCAGACAGGCCGCCGCTCCTGTGCCCGGTGGTGTGCTGGTGGATAGCCCCAATATGCTCCATGCCTTGCGTCACCGGCTGGCTTGGTGGAGCTGAACAGGACCGCTCTAGTCTTCCGGAAATATCCACAATGAGGGAGTTGGGGAGGTGAAGCCACGGCCAAGTAGGTTTGCTGCCTTTGGTTTGGCAGCCGCTGCTGGCCATTTACCACGGCTAGCATTGGCCTTGGGTCTGTGATCTGGAAGGATGGCCTGTGTATAGTTGGTGCAGTCGATGAGCTTGGATGCATTAGTGCTACAGCTCAACAATCCCTGACGAGCTTGGTGAGCTTGAAGGACGGGGGCCTTGAGCTTGGAGAGGGTGTGGATGCGTGAAAGCTCAAAGGAGATGGGGATGGGCTGGACCCATGGTTGCCTCCTGCCGGATCAGAGGTGAGGAGATCAGAAGTAAATGGGATGTGGTCATGTGGAAAAAGTGGTGAAAGGGCCTCTAGCTGAGCTGGTTAGGTGGCTTGAGTAGCACTTCCCAGGTCCTGGGTTCGACTCCCCGTGGGAGCGAAATTTTTTGCATTGTACAACTGTAGTGTGTATACTACCTGTTCAACTGCAAATTTGAAGTCACAGCTAACTTTTCAGCGCCATCACTTTAATCTTGTTGGTACTTGTATTGTTTTTTGGTCCTTCAAAATATCCATCTTTCAGTATTAACACCAACTTTCTTCTCAACAGGTGGTCAAACAAGCATCAGGTACTGGCTCTTTATCATCATATTAAACTCGACTGTCATTTATGAAGCAAATAGTACTATTCCATTTATTTAATTATCGATTGAAAAAACTGAGGTATTCTACTACTACCTTTTTGTTAATTATATTAAGTAATTGGTGGAGATAATACTGTCTTAGTACCCTGGCACTTCAGTTTCCACAAGCTAAATCATCAGGCTGGAAGAACAGATATGTTTAATAAAGATAAGGATTTTTCTTTTTCTCATTGCGGGACGAGCCTGAATTTCATCAATATGCAACGAATTTCATCAATATGCAACGAATTAGAAAGGTTCCTCATTGCAGTGTTTAATGTCTCCCAAACCATGTAAAGATTAAGCTTTTTCTAAGATAGAATTGTAAAGATTGGATCATGCTGAAAATATCTTAATCTAGTTGTTTTTTATATGGAAGCCTGGCCTAGGCCTGTATAATGTACATCGTGCCTGTCTTGGATGTAATCTTTTAGGTTGATCCTTGCCAACATGGACATGAAAAAGGACTCGACCATGGGGAGAGATATGCCCCTGGTGTTCCCCTTAAGTAAAAGCTAGACAAAGATAGGAAGAACTAGGCAGCTTTATGTTAATAAGAAATAGGCACCCAATTTCACCAAAACGAGGACTCATTGGTGGCCTGGACCCAAGTCCACACCCTCAACCAGTTGATCTAGGCTGTCACTCTATGATCCAAGAGTTGTTATGGTTTGGCCTTGGATCATTTCATAATTTGGTGGCACAATATATATGATATATTCGTGCATAGCGGAGTGATACACAATGAAAAATAGTCCAGATGGAGTGCATCCAACTGATCTTTAAAATGTGGTGTAGTTGAATCCTAGTAACTCTAGTGGAACTAGTTTATGGAGATGGTCTAAAATGTGAACAAGATATGATAGTCTATACGATGCCACGTCTAGATGCTTTTGTAACATATCCTCAGTTGCCGATATTTTGTTTCTGCATTCCTTTCCACGTGAGCACTGTTTTAGGGGGGAAAACATGAGGGCATTTCAAGTATTGTACTAGTAGTATAAGAACTTTTCCTTTTTATACTTGTGTAAGTGTTGGAATGGTCCTTTATGACATAGAGCATGAATTTTCTTGAATCCTGAGACTTTTTGGGTTTCTTAGATAAGACTTAACATGTCAACTTGTTTGGATTTTCATTGGCCTTCCTGTGCTTTTGAATATCAGAACTAGAATCGTTACTTTTAGCATAATGCATTTATTTTTTCCATGAACTAATACATTTAATATCCCATCAATATCTTTGTCATTTGTGCATTTTCAGGCCATATTGGCGGTGCTACTTTCCAAACACCCAGGCTATCATATATGTTGTTGATTCAAGTGATACAGATAGGCTTGTAACAGCAAAAGAAGAATTCCATGCCATCCTTGAGGTAATGGTCCACCATCATGAGATCCTCGTTTACACCAAACAATCTGAGATACTTTTCCTGGTCTTATTTGACGTAGATTTAACATTTCTTGCCAATTTCTGAGAAGAAATGAAAATATTAAAACATTTCATCAATGGAAAGAATGATTATTCATGCTGATTGAATACTGTAGTATGTGATTCGCTGATTATTTTGCAATGAATAAGTTGATGAGTGCCATATGCATGATATTATGGAATGCATTTCAAGGCGGTGTTGCTTGATATTATGGAATTCATGATTCCTGTTGATATATCTAATATGTGTTTGACTCTGGTAGCGGTATGGGATAGGTGGAGCATGAGTGGTAACAAGATTTTACTGTTTGATTGTATCACTGGGTAATGCTCCCTCCTTTTCCAATTGTGAGTTGTTCTGGCTTTTTATATAAAACCCAGAACGACTCACATTGTAACTGAGGGAGTATCATATCTAGAAAATTCTACTTCTAGTTTTGAACGGCATTGATATGTTTGTAAATAAATATTTTGACATTTGGAACTTAGAAATATTAGCTAGGGTGCATATGCCTTTAAGTCTCACTTGTTGCAGAACTACAATCTGAATTTCTTTTACTGAATGGCTATTTTTTTCTCCGAATAAGGAAGTCTAGTAAGCACGGGGTGCCCTTAAATCTGTTACATTTACTGATTTGATGCATGCCTTTACATGGCAGGAGGACGAGCTTAAAGGTGCAGTTGTCCTTGTATATGCAAATAAGCAGGTAAAAAGAAGAATTTTGAATTTCTCATACTGTTGTGGATTTGGCATTTTCCATGATTATCAGAATTAAGCTGCATGTTTATATTTCTGTGCATTTAATCACATGAATGTTGATGTAGGCATCAGCAGTCAGCACTTAAATGCCTCAAATGCTGATATTTTCACTTGTCCTGTACTACTTTCGATATAAAGTGTACTCTAATTTGGTAATATAGTTATCTTTTCCCTACTACACAAGCTCCCTGCTTTAAGATAGGTGTATATGAAGTGTAACTGTAATGTTTGTTTCAAGTGTTCGTCTCCTTCATAAATCATTCGCTGGAACCATTGATCTATCCAAATAGCTTGCACCTCTTGTCAAATGATTCAGCATGGTGTACTCATTTCCAGTAGACACTTGCTTTTAACTTGTGCCTTATGTTACTTGTACCCTGTAGGCTGTAGCTCTACTGTATCTCGTGGTTTTTTGCATTTTATCTGACATGCCAGTTATTTTCATGCAGGATCTTCCAGGCGCACTCGATGATGCTGCCATTACAGAGTCATTAGAACTGCACAAGATTAAGAGCCGCCAATGGGCGATTTTCAAAACATCTGCAATAAAAGGAGAGGGGCTCTTCGAAGGTTTGGACTGGTAAGTGGGGTCAAAATTTCATGTCCTACGGGATGTTTCTGCATGGCAAAATGGCAAGATACACAAGTGAATGAATGTCTTTAATAAATCATTTGTATCACCAATTAAAATAGTTCTTCCTGCGTTATCAAGTAGTGGCTGTACTGTCCATGTCCTATCACCAGGCTGCAGTTCTATCTATTAATTAATTACAAAAGAACATGCTTATGTATTTACGTGATGATTGAGACACGTGGAGGCATTATTGGAGGAAGCAACTTATGGTTGGCTATTATTGCAGGCTCAGTAACACACTCAAATCTGGAAGCAGCTAATTAGGAGCCTCTATCTCCATGTCATGAATCATTTGCTGGATGGTAAAGAATAGAGCCGATGCTGCCCATTTCCTTGCAAGTCAGCTGCGCAAATCCCATTCTCTTTGTTTTAACTCCAGAAGTTCTACACCCCGCCATCTGTAAAGTGCTTGTTAAAGTTTTTTGGATACTACATTAGATGTACCCTCATATTGAGATCAAGAATAGGTCTGTAGAAAATTATGAGCAAACTGTGCCAGTATCTTTACCCGTAAATCTCATGGATTGTGACAAGTTTTTTCCCCAATGATTAAGCGTACCACATTTCTACCTTGTCTTATCAGTGACCAGATGCACGGCATTTGTACCTTTAATTTTCTTAAGCATATTTTGCTAACGCTTTTACATTTTTTTTAGTCTCTGCTACCACTTTTACTTGAAGTACGGCAGATGGATCTTTACAGAACTGTTGCAAGATGTCGCAATGCAGGTTTAATTGGACACCTGTGGTTACTAATTTGTGAAGAACTTTGTACTGGAATTGATATATAATTATAACAAAATATGTGGATTGAGACAAATATATGCGCATCCAACCAAGGCCTTAGTAAGAGTAGTATTGTATTTTCGGGGACGGATTGAGTACTTCCTCCGTCTAAAAATAAATGTACATCTCGCTTTTTAGGTCTATCGTTTTTAAAGTTTGACCAAGTATTATAGTAGTAGAAAATAATATCTATTTTGTATCTTTTCCAAATTAATTTGATCAAGTTTTTAAAGTTTGACCGTTTGAGTACTCCGTACTTTGGAGGGAGTAGTTGTTTACATGATTGATCCTTCCGGTGGCAGGAAAAAGATTTGCATGTAGGCCCGGGCGTCCAGTCTGGCCATAGCACGATAGATCGCACAAACCAGCTCCGCCTGATGAGACAAAGAGGCCTGCGAATTGACGTCAGCAGGGACGTCACCTGAAAGCAAAGGTTTGTTGCGCTGAACGGTCAAGTCCTACCTGTAGAGGTAGACTGTAGTTTTGCACCACGGACGACTGTTCAACCGTTGTCTCACGTCAGTTGCCGTTTAACGACTTGGCCCTGGAATAAATCGCTTGCCAAAAGGCTAACGTCCCTTTCTTGATAATCAGCGTGTTCGTTTCTTGTTTCAGCCAGACAACAGTGTTTTTCTCTCACAACAAACCATCACCAACCAGTCCAAACCAGTCCAGAAACCACCCAGCGAACAGGCCGAATGTCATCCACAGTAGGACACGTGTTGTGCTGACAATTCTCCACTTTTGCGGCGAAAATCTGAGTTTTGTTTCGTCTATTAAATTAGAACTAAAGCATGTAAATTTCACCATTGGCCGAACTGTACTTACTTTTTTCTCATACCACCGTATATAGGAACACACTCACTCCTATAAACACATTTACATAAGTAAATTGTACACCTAATCTCTGTAAGTATATGAACATAGACTCACCCTGTAAACACATGTACGTATACCTAAACTCTATGAGCACTTAAAAAAAAAAAGAGTCCACAACCGGCGGAATGAAAGCTCAAGACGACAAAAACTCGGTTGCAATTAGCCGATTAATGCCGAAAGGGGCAGCAGCGAGTGACTGCACGTAATTGTGCTGGTCCTGTTTCTTTGGAGGCTTCAAGGGGCAGGAAGGAAGGCTGTATCGTTCTGGAATCACAGGACCCGGAGGATAAGGCCAACACCAACGGACCAACCTCTTGTGCTCCAATGGAGTGCTCCCAACAAAAGAACCTCTTGAGGATAAGGCGAAGAGTGGGGCGTGCCGGAAAAGGCAACCGTTGGTTGCCGCCAGTTTGATTACCATATATACTCATCCACCCCAAACAATCAGACAGAAAAAAGGTTAACAAGGGCCGCTACTAGTTCGGTGAAATCACAGCCGACCCTTATATCAAATCAAGCTCTCAAATTGTGACATTTGCACCTGCATATTTGGGTTGTCTCAAACAGGGTTCAAAATTTTGGCGAAATTTCACCGACGAATTTCGGTAATTTTGGTGTGCAATACCGAAATTAAAAACCCTAGTCTCAAATCATGCACTTTTAGTGATAACTTACTTACCCGAGCACACTAATTTTACCCTTCTCTAGTGATAAAGAAGTGACCTGATTTTGTAGTTGTCTGAAGTATGTCAAAATATTTTCCGTATGTTCAATTTAGACCAGAAATTAATGGTACAACAAGTTAAGTTAAAATTACACTCCATCTAAATACACGAGGCAATCTATCTTTTCTCCATTGATTTGACTATATATTTTTTTATGTAAATATTTGGGTAAATAAATTGAACAGACCTACAAGGCGTGCTCAAAATACATTCCGCTTACAAAAATGATTGTATTGTTTCGGGTTTATTAGTAAACATTGTTGCCATGCAAACGCCTGTACCAGTAGTTCTAAAACAGTTGGTGTTTCCTCGGTTTTGAGTGCGCCTGCGGTAGCCGGCCGGGTAGGGTTAGATTGCATTGCGTGAGCTCCAGCTGATGGCCATTTAGTTCGAAAGCAACCAGCGACGAAGCCAGAAAAGAATTTAGAAAGGGCTGAACAAAAAAATAAAGTCATTTTTATCTTTTTTTAACCTTAGCCACTCCTACCTAATACATATATGCATAAATTTTAAGAGAGGACTTAGAAGGGCTCCACGTGCCCAGGAACGGTAGAGGGGCTAGAGCCCCCCCCCCCAGCCCCACCGCTGGCTCCGTCGCTGAAAGCAACTAATTTATAGTATTAGTAAGGGAAAGTGTCAATCATCTTCGAACAATCCAGCAACTACCCAGCCTCTCTCGGTCAACCGACTTCTTCACCAAACTGGGGGCAAAAAGATGTAAAACTCTAGGCGTGGACGGTTTGTTTTGTCCAATCGACCTAACCAAAACGAAAATAATTTAGCAGTACGGGTCCTAATCCTAACAGCACAGTAGTAATTCTGACCAGGTGCACTAGCGTCCCGTGCAAGAAAGACCAGTGCGCTTAGCCGACGTCATCATCCGACGTGGCACTAGGCCGGCGCTGCGGACGCAGCTATGTCCCGGCCGTGACGCCCCTCAGCTGGTTTTCCACCCGGACCCGGGTACAGTAGCTTCCATCCATCCGAACGTTCCAGAAGGACACGTGTTGTGTCGACCTCGTGACAACAGGCGCACAGGTCAACGCGGTAGACTCCGGTGACTTTCCAGGTGGCCTTTCCTGCTTCAACCATGGGGCCCTGGCCGCACCCATGCGAGTGCGCCACGGCTTGCACCTTTTCTTTTCTTTTTTAGCTTTGTGGAAATTATCACTCACGCAACACGACTTTTTCTTTCTTCCTTTCTTTCTTCTTGTCCCTTCTTTTTCACCTCTTTATCTTGCCGTTCAATTATTCATGCATCCTCAGGGTAAAAAACTAAAATAAATAAATAAAACCGGTAGCCGCTCCGCACCAAGGCGCCCGAGTGGCGGCGCCATTGTTTATCTTATCCCGGGGCTGGGGATGTGCCTCTTCGCTAATGATTCGTTTCTGTTTAACTTAAGAGAGAGATTATGTTAATCTGTCTGATGTTAACTACTGCTAATAGCAACTTAAGCTCTAGACCAAGTAGCACCCACAAGCCAAGTATTAAGTGTGTGTGTGTATATATATGCCTTAGTTTGAAGACAAAGGCGTATGTGGTTTTTGCTAGTTTTGTTGCTTCAAGGTTAGAGTTGACCTATATAATTATGGGAGCCTCTCTAACCTATATAATTAGTGACAAATTTGTATACAACTGTAAATCTAGACAATCTTTGTTAAGGACGAGGACTATACGTACACACATCTCTACTCCTAAAAAAGAGTGAAACGGACCGTCTACCGCCCGTGGTGAGGCCACTGCGATAGAGGTCTTCAGGTGATTTTGCAGTGTGCCGACGTGTGGCCCCCCGCCCCCTCTTCCACACGAGTCCACTCCCTGCTCCCGGCCATCAATCAAGGAAAAAAATAGAAGCCCCTACCCCGCCGCCCTGACCTGCTCCCGCCGTCGCCGCCTACCGCTGCCCGGCCCACCCCCACTGGTTCTGCCGGCTCGCCCCCTGCCCTAATTGGTTTCCCCTCCCTGCCCCCTCCTCGGATTGGTGCACCCCTCCCCAAGATCACCGTTGCCGTCCTCCGCGTCCCACCCCACGCTCGCCTCACCTGTCGCTGATCCCCTTTGCCATGGTAGTGGTGATCGCCGTCGCCCGTCCTCCGTGTCCCTCCCCACGCTCGCCCGTCACTCCGCATCCCTCCCCCAGATCGCACGTCCGGCCCAGGCAGCGGATGGAGGAGCAGGCCTCCGGTCGGAACGGTCTAGATCCCCGTCGCCATGGTAGTTGCGAGATCCATGGTGCGACGACCGTCCCATCGGTGGGATCCATGGCGTCCAGGCCATCTCTTCAGGAACGAGTCTAGGTTCCAGCCGCCGATGATGGAGGGTGGTGGCAACAACAGCTTTTACGACGACAACATTAGTTCTTGGTGCCATGGCCTCAAATCCATGGGTTTCTAGCGGTGCGGTCCCACTCCATCTCCTCAAGGTCCAAGGGCTGGAGCTACATTGGTTCTAATTTTTCCCCCTTGGAGATCAATGGTGTTCCAGGGCACAGACGGGTTCTGCGTGCACAACAACGTGGGAAGGCTGGTGTTCCGAGTCTAACAACTGCTTGCACGTTGGTGAGCTGCTGCTCATGGACGGGCAGGGCATGCCGCTCCTGTTCATCAGGTCACAGCCCACAGGTGAGTGGTGGTTACTACTTGGCTTGCTTACCTCTTCTGCATCATCTAGCGTCACAACAAACTGCATGTATCTGTTCATTCTGCTCTGTCATTGCTAGCCACAGATCGAAGGAGAGAGAGAGAGTAGAAATGTATTCCCTACTGCTCATTCTGCTCTCTCATTGCTAGCCACAAAACTATTTGCTCTGGTTAGTGTGGTTAATGCAGCGATGATGCTTTGCTATAGCTTCTTGGTCTGTGATTTGTGAATTGTTGATACATAGAGTGCTAAATATATTCCCATGGATATATTTTGTGCATAAAAATATATTTAAGTCAATATCATATATATCATCAACTAACTATAGATTTTCTATCATCTACACATATCACGATACAAGTCCATTGTTCCTAAACAATCAGCTCAAGGATCTTAAGCAAGCTTGTGAAGTTTGTTTCTCATTCTAATGTGACAAGGCAATTTGTTAATTACTTTTTCTATATTTTTTGCCCTCCTGCATCAAGTGGTTATGGCTTTTCAAGTAATGAAACAATTGGTTTCACTACTACAGATTGATTTATCACTATCGTCACTTTCACTGTCGTAGCGATAGAAGCGACGGTATTATACTTCCACCGCCGGTTAGACCGATAGCGAGGCCTCCTAAGGAAGGAAACCGACAGTTGAAACTTCTACCACCCACGAGTTAACAATAGATGCGGCAATGGTATTTTCTCCGTCGTATGAAAAGCCGAGCCAGCTGGGATAGGCGTTATGGCTACCGGCCCTACACGGCCGTTTGGTGTACCGGGGTAGTAAATTCAGCGTGAGTTATTTTCCCATTTTCCAACTACCCACAACATAGTTGCATCACCATTACTTTCCTACGGAGTATGCCTCGTCTTCCCTGATGCTTATTAACTGCTCCTCTCCGCTTCTCCATCTTCAAGGTTGGCCTATTTAAGCCGGGGCTGGATGCACTTCTTGCCAATTCACACTCCTTCCTCCTTAGATACAGACAAAGCTTTTGAGCCAACTATCTATATTTTCTTCATTGCCATGGCACTCCTTCTCCAACTCCTCCGGCGGCGGCAGCGGCGTTGGGAGAAGGCCTTCAAGATTGGGTACTACCGGCATCTAGGTGCAGCGGGGGCTGCTTGATCTAGGTGCTAGTGGAAGTTTTGCAATTAAGGGGGTTCGCTTATTTGGGCAAGCCAAG